CTGCCACCATCTGTGTTGTAGAAAGAGTACCGACCTCAAACCGAAACTAGCGCCTTTATGTTCGACGTGAATGGTGGGAATGTGAGAGTGCGATCGATACTAACGTTTATCTATAAACGTTGGTTGCTGAAACCTGTAGTTTTTATTTGCGGTGACTTCAAGCACCTCGGCTCTCGTAGAGATATGTACAGACGGCGTAAATTTCCGCAAACAGCTGACTACAAAGCAGATGGGCAGATGGGGTTTTCACCGGAGAAAATTGATGATGCTGTCCGCGCAAAGGCTTGCTCCGTCTGAGCATAGTATTATGCGTGAACCACTGCAAGGATACGGCTTAAGACTATAGTCTGTTGGAATATCCAGCAAAACGTTTCGTAAGGCTTTCGATTTCGATCGTAGTTACGGATGGATCAGATATTAGCCTTGGTGAGGACGTCGAGAACGAGAGCTTTCTCAAACGAAATACGATAAGGCAAGATAGCTGACGTAGGTACATGTTTAACATGATGATGTTGCCCAAGCCTCGCGTAATGTCACTACGTTTAGCCTTCTCGGGATGCTTATTGGACAGTCACAGGTTTCTGCTGGGGGAGCTTTGTCGACAAATGTTCGATTTTTCACCCACACACGGATGGTGATAAAGATCTCGGGGGCCGCTGATATGTTTGTTCTGAGCATTTCTTTACACGCTGGTACATTTCAGCGTCTCTACGGCAACAGAGCAACTAAAAACTTGCAAATTTATTACGGTTTGTCAATTGCTTCCTTCATGAAAGAGCAGACCCTCACTCACAATTCAAGCTCGTGTTTGATTCCGTTGCCCGCGGGACACGATTTCTATCAGAGCATATACTTTTTAGAGCGCAGCTATTAGGCGCCCGTTTCCGGCTTGAGCGGCGTCGGCGTCGCCGTCGGCGTAACCGCGCGGTGCATTATGGGTAAATTTCCCCGCTAAATCTAGCGGAAAAATTTCCCCGCAAAATCTAGCGGAAAAATTTCCCCGCTAAATCTAGCGGAAAAATTTCCCCGTTAAATCTAGCGGAAAAAATTTCCCCGCTAAATCTAGCAGAAAAATTTCCCCGCTAAATCTTGCGGAAAAATTTTCCCGCTAAATATAGCGGAAAAATTTCCCTGCTAAATCTAGCGGAAAAATTTCCCCGCTATATCTAGCGGACAAATTTCCCCGCTAAATCTAGCGGAAAAGTTTCCCGCTAAATCTAGCGGAAAACTCCCCCGCTAAATCTAGCGAAAAACTTTCCCCGCTAAATTTAGCGGAATAATTTCCCCGCTGAATCTGGCGGATTTTCCCGCTAAATCTAGCGAAAAAATTTATCTAGCGGAAAAATTTCCCCGCTAAATCTAGTGGAAAAAATTTCCCCATTGAACCTAGCGCAAAACATTTCCCCACTAAATCTAGCGGAAAAATTTCCCCACTAAATATAGAGGAAAAATTTCCCCGCTAAATCTAACCAAAAAAACTTCCCCGTTAAATCTAGCGGAAAAAAATTTTCCCACTAAATCTAGCGGAAAAATTCCTCTGGGGGGGTCACTCCCCGAGGTCACGTGACCCCAGTGTCACGTGACACCCCCAGGTCACGTGACCCCCACGTGACCTTGGGGAGAAGGTCATGTGACCCCACAAAGGTCACGTGAACGCACCCCAGGTCACGTGACCCCCCCCCCCCCCCCCCGAGGTCACGTGACCTCCCACCAGAACACGTGAACCTCAATACCCTTCCCTCCTCCTCCTCAAGAGCTGCGCTCTAATTCGGCGTTACAGGGAGTTGTGAACGGCTTTTGTTTTTTTCCTTTTGGTCCCGCTGCACGAATGACACATCGTAGCAAACCCTCGTCGTCTGCTCCCTCTCCTCGCCGGAGCGAGGCATGACGGGATTGCATTTCGGCGCTCGCTTGATTTTCTCGGTGCATTGAGTGCAGGGTGGAAGATATGGTGAATTCGGGTGGTCGCCTCTCTCCTCTGACCTCGATTCAGCAGAGCGCCCCCTCCTCGCCGCCAGAGCTACTCGGGATCCTTTTCAGCCGATCACAACTGCTCGCTTCAGAGCGCTCCGAGATTCTCAGACCAGTAATGAAAGAAAAACTTCTTAATTTCAATAATGCATTAAAAAATGATTTTACAGCGTACGGTGGACGATTGAGCAAAATTTACGCTCGCAACGTGATGAAACAACGGTTTTGACGTAAATTGTTTTACTCATCGGCATGTAAAAAAAAAAAGGAAACAACAGTAGGCGAATTGATTTTTGCAGAACGGAACGAAAGCCAACGCTTGGAAGCAGTTGTCAACTCATCGCGTTTTCGACAGTGAACGCGCTGCGATAGCGGTTATGCGTACGACTGGGCAGGCGAACATAAAATGGGTAATAGACCGCATTTTTCTCACAACTAAATATCGTGCAAGCATCGCAATGTGACACAAATCACAGTGCATTATATTCGGCTCTCCCTTTATTTTACAACACAAACCTTTGAACGCACTTTTACCAAACCTCTAAAATTTCTTGAAGCTACTACAAAATCCGGTAAAACAGCGGCGAGCTCTACGAGCTGTTTCGTCGTCGGTTAGGCTTAGCGGATTCACCGCCGTGAGATGAACGATCTTGTGAAAGCACTGGGAACACTTCACACGTCGGCTTTTCCTGTTACGGTCGCAAATGAATGTCGTCCCGTCCGTTGTAATCCTCGCACCGTCGAATGCACAAGCACTTTGTAGAACCACACATCAATCACCGTCATGCCGGACCCCGCACACCATCACAGACCACTGCCGGCCATCGTCAACAAAACCACGTGATCACCGTCCAGCTACCACATGACGCCTGCGCCGCTCCGCACTCCGACGGCTACAGACGGAGTGCCAGAGAGCGCTCTGAGAGGGAGGGGCGTCCTCGGAATGAACCACCCGATCAGGCCACAGCACTCTATTCAACCACACGATTTCGCGCGCTCTGGAAAGAGCGCTCGAGAGCGCGCAGGAAGAACCACGCGAATTCGCCAATAGACAGGTGGTGAAACGAGAGCCGAATGAGCGACCGGATTGTGTCCCCCTCGGTTTTCTCTTTTTCTGTGGCGCCATCTATATTGAGCACCGCGAACTCTCACTCCAGGTGGGCGAACGCTGGCGACCGGTTAAACTGATGGAAAAGGTTTCTCGTGGATTTTCAATGGAGGACTGTCGTGCTCTCAGTTTATTTTGCGCACTCTCCCATAGAGTTCCATGCGAATTCGATTCCAATTTTTTTCTTCTCGCCGCAGCGCCATCTGTCGCAAATCGGGGGTACCCGCAAGCCACCCGCAAGCAGACGAGTACACAATCCGGTCACGGCGCTGCGGTAGGTTTCTACGGGCCGTTTCCCCACCTGTCTATCTTACACCCTGATCGAGTGCATGCACGCGTGGAATGCGGGCGCTGAAACGAACTTGGGGAGTGCAATCACTCGTGGAGTGCAGGCCGAAACGAACCCGCTCCACGGTGCGAGTTGGCATGCGTGGGCACGAGTGCAGTGAAATGAACTCGCTATAAGGAGAAGACGTCTAAGTGAGCGCCACGTATGTTATTCGCTCCTCCGATTCAGCGCTACTTAGCTCGTTTATTTCGTCACCCGAGATTCACAATCAACAACAAATGATTGCTCTTGTCGTCAGGACCACGGAACATCTACATATGAGCAAGTAGGTCCTCCCGGAATTTCATTTTCGGCCCTTTGAAAATCCGAACCGGGACGCACCTGCTAGGCCTAACCGAAGATAGGATTGGCCAAGTCTATGCGGCGGGCCGCTCAGCCTGACCACGCCTAGGGTCAGCAACTTCAGGTCCCGTCCTGCCCTTGACGGACCCTGCGCCGCCCGAAATGACCTCTCTATCGTCTTCGGACGAATGCAGCACCGACCCAGAAGAAAATTCCGGGTCCCAAACCCCTTCTAAGACGACATGCGTCGCCCAACCCATGGAACATGACTCGGCCCCGCAAAGCTCAGGTGACTACACATGGACCGACGTAGTCAACCGACGGGTAAAGAAGCAGAAACGTATCGCGGAACGTGCCGCGGCCGCCGCCCAGGCTGTGGCACAACAATCCCAACCCCCGAAACCGACTGGGAGGCCCGGACGAGCCGGCAAGACCCATCCAACACACCGGCTGCCGCCGCTACCCGTGAATGACCACAAGGTCATTGTACGGCCTAGGGACGGCCTCAATTTCACAGTATGGAGCGCCGAACAAGTCGCTATGGCCTTCATAGACGCAGCCCAGCTCATTGCAGCGGAGATCGACACGGTCAAGATCCGAATACGCCGCGACCAGAATCTCGTCGTGGTCAGCACCCCTGAGCCCGAGGTAGCGGTCAGGGTGCAAGAGCTTCCCGCTATCACAATCAACGGCCGCCAATACGAAATCCTTGCTTACATCGCTTTGCCAGATAATTCATGCCGGGGAGTGATCATGGGTTTGGATTCGAGACCGACGTCCGAGATTCTTTCTACGAGAATACGAGCGCAGGGAGTCAAGGTCCTATGCGCACGGATGATGGGCCAAACAAACACGGCCATTATCAACTTTGAGGGACTGAAGGTTCCCTACTACGTGTACTTCAGGGGCGCCGAATACCGGTGCCTACCACACCGACCCCGAGAATAAATATGCACCGCCTGCTTGGGCCTGGGACACCTCGTGGATGTTTGCCCACATCCCGAGGAGAACAAATGCTGCAGATGCGGCAAACCCGGAACAGCGGACCAAGAGCACGACTGCAACGAAAAATGTGTCAACTGCGGTGGGTCGCATCCAGCCACCGACCCAAAGTGTCCGGCAAGACAGCGGGGGCCTCTCAACAAGGCTCACGTTCGTCGCCAGCTAAACCGCCAAACTCCAGTACAACGCAGGCCTCTGACGGGACTGTTAGGACCGCGTCAGAAGCCATCTGCGGCGTCAACCAAGGTAGACCACCCGCAACCCAGACCACGGCCGAGCCACAACCCAATGGTGCGCGAGGAATTCGCGTCCATCACGGATCCCACACCTGCGGAAGCAGCTGCGATGGTACAAGGACCGGCGCCGAACCCTAAGAAGCGGAACCGAAATCCCCCTGAATCACCAGGTCAACCACCCGCCGTCCCGGCAGCTGAGCTCTCCGATCCCAGCGAGCCCGCGAGTAAAGTAAGGTTGACGGAGCCGCACCCCTTTAAACCCACACCTTCCCTCACACCGCCACCCTCCACACCCCCTGAACCCAGCCCCACATCAGAATGCGAGCTTACCCCCCTAAAGGTACAAGCGACGTCAGACCAAACCCTAGAAAAGCTCAGAGAAGAATCCAACGCCAAGTTGAAGGCGCTCCAAGCAGAGATGATGGGTGAGCTTGACAGGCGAGTCTGTGAGCTGGCCAAGGTCATCCACAATGACGTACAAGCTCAGATGCGTAGCTTTGCGGAAGAAATCATCTCACAACAAGAGTCTCGCTTCCAGCAGATCATACAACCCCTCATCCAGCCCTTGATGAAGCAGGTGGCGGAACTCACAGCTCAGTTGCGCCAAGTCGCGCAATCCAGAATCACGGTCCCCATTCCCAACGAGTCCGTGGTCGCCATCACAAGCAACACCGCACCCACACCAACAACGGTCAACGCGAAAATCCTGCCCAACCCCACGACCCAGGAGCCCCCTGGCACACCTCAGATCTAATATGGCAAGCCAGAAACCGACAGCCCATTCATCATCAACCCTAACCCCGTCCGAGAAACACACAACACCAATCTGGCAATGGAATTGTAGAGGGTACAGGCGCAAGCGCGGCGCTCTCATGCATTACATCGGCACAAGAGACTTTGCACCGGATATTATCGCACTACAAGAGCCAAACTGTCCTCCGAGCCTCTCTGGATATACAATGTTCATGCAAATGGATAGCGGCCCGGAGGCTACACTGTACAGAGCGGCAACCCTCGTCGCAAAACACATCTCCGTCATAAACCATTCCTTCAAGCAGCATAGACATATACCCCACACATTACTCGAAACCCTACCCAAGAAAAAGACGCTCCCCAGCCTCTTCGTGCTCAACGTCTATAGCTCCCCAAGCCAGAAGGCCGATGACTTCAGAGCCCTCTTCCACGATGCGATCCAAGTTGTTCAGCCCCGAACAAACTCCCTAGTGATCGTGGGCGACTTCAATGCGGCCCACCCGACCTGGGGATATGTGAAGGAGAACCCCAAGGGACGCAGGTTAGCACAAGCTATCGCCAACAATCACCTTACCATCATGACAGAACCGGAACACCCCACAAGAATGGGCAACAGCGTTAATCGCGACACGTGCCCAGACTTAACCCTAGTCCGCACGCAGACCTCGTGTAGCTGGTCCAACCTGGACGAAACGCTGGGAAGTGACCACTACATCCTGGAGACCGAGATGTGCGATGGAGGCCGTAGAACACGAAAGCTTCGACCCGCTCGACTCACGAACTGGGACCAGTTCAGACAACAGCGAGGGAGCACCGAGAGCGGAGACATTACCTCCATCCAGGAGTGGACCCAACGGCTCCATGAAGACATTGATCGAGCAACCAAGAAAGTCAATACTACCATCGACACCCCAGCGATAGACCCCCATCTCCTCCACATGTGGGACGCCCGGCGAGGACTCACCAAGCGGTGGAAGACGCAGAGATTCAACCGCAAGCTGCGACTGCGCATCGCCGAGCTCAACCAAAAGGCGGAAGACTACGCAACCACCTTGGCGGAAGGCAATTGGAACCAACTATGCCACGGGCTGCGTGGTACGCTTGGGACCGCTAAGACTTGGGCAATGCTCCGATCCTTGCTGGACCCATCGCGCTCCAAGACCGAGACATCCAAGGCCGTGACCAAACTTCTGCACGGACTGCAGCGGGACGAAGCCTCCATCGTGAAGGAACTAGAATCCCGAAACCTCGCAGCCGGCCCACGCCCCGACTATGCAGAGTACTCCTACACGGAAGAGCCGAGCCAGCTAGACGCGGACTTCACCGAATCGGAGATACAAGCTGTCCTCACCAAGCTTACGCGCACCACAACCCCGGGGAAAGACGGAGTCACATACAAAATGCTGCACAACCTCGACGACGCTTCCATTACGGCGCTCACCCGATATTTCAACGAGGTCTGGAGGACAGGAAGAATCCCGGAGGAATGGAAACACGCGGACATTACACTTATCCCTAAGCCTGGCAAGCCACTAGGACTTCAAAACCTACGACCCATTTCGCTTACGTCTTGTGTGGGGAAGCTCATGGAGCACGTCGTCTTGTCACGACTACAACCATATCTCGAGGAACAAGAGTACTTTGCGGACACCATGTATGGATTTCGACCACGTTTCTCCACACAAGATGTCCTCCTCCAACTAAAGGAAGAGGTCCTGGACTTTCAAAGCCAAGCCCAGGCGAGGGTGGTGCTAGCCATCGACCTCAAGGGGGCTTTCGATAATGTCTCGCACGATGCTATTCTACGCAACCTCACCGAGACCCACTGCGGTACAAGGGCATACAACTATGTGCGATCCTTTCTTATGGATCGAACCGCCACCCTGGGGATTGGTGACATCCGCTCGGACCCCATTCGTCTAACAGGACGAGGGACACCTCAGGGATCAGTTGTATCGCCCTTGCTGTTCAACGTGGCAATGGCAGGCCTCCCGCACAAACTCAACAAAATCCCGCACTTCCGACACGCCCTCTACGCCGACGATATCACGGTGTGGACTACCACAGGGTCGGAGGGAGAAATCCAGAACAGACTGCAAGAAGCAGTCAACGTCACCCAAGACTACGCTGGAGCGGCAGGGCTAACCTGCGCAAGTGAAAAATCCGAGCTCCTGGTGATCCGAAAACGCTCAGTACTGAACAAACACGCGCCGACCATCGACCTTACGCTAGGAAATACACCTATACCCCGGGTAGAGCGCCTACGTATCCTTGGCATGTACCTCCAAAACCACGGCGGAGCACGACACACCGTGGAGCTCCTGCGCAGACAAGCCGACCAAATAGCCCACCTCATCCGACGGGTGTCTAATCGGAAAGGGGGGCTCAGTGAACAGGATACGCTGCGAATCTATCAAGCCCTCATTGTGAGCCGGTTCACATATCATGTGCCCTTTCACAACTTCACGATCACCGAAATGGAGTGGCTAAACACCTCGCTCCGCAAGGCGATCAAGACAGCCCTTGGTCTACCAATAAGTACGTCAACGAAGCGACTCCTGATGCTGGGGGTCCACAACACGGTGGAAGAGCTAGTCGAAGCGCAAAAAACAGGACAGCTCACACGCCTCAGCGCCACCCGAACCGGCCGAGCAACGCTGCGCAGACTTGGCTACACCAATCTCACGCAGGAAGAACCAGCCGCCCCAGTGCGCCTGAAACCGGATATCCTGAACCGCGTACAGGCGGCACCTATCCCTAAAAACATGCACCCAGACCTCCACACAGGGCGGAGAGAGGCCAGGATCCGGGCCTTAGAGAAAGTCTACGGCCCAGACCCACAAACATGGTACACAGATGCTGCTCTCCACAGGGAAAGAGCCGGAGCAGCAACCATCGCAGTGACAGACAGAGACGGCACCTGCTACAGCACGGGCTCCATCTCAAACATCACATCAATCCAGGAGGCGGAGGAGATGGCCATAGCGCTGGCCATCTCACACGCAATCCCACGCAGAGACACCACCGACCTCAAGCATAAGATAATTATCGTCACCGACTCGCAAGCAGCGAGCAGAGCGTTTGCGGGCAACACCCTCTACCCACGGACAGCACATCTCATCAACGCCATAAGAACCGAATGGTTACAAATACCGGTCATCCGGATCATCTGGACCCCTGCACATCTGGGCTTATCCGGCAACGAAAGTGCTCACGCACTAGCCCGAGCGGTAGTGACAAACCGGGCTTTGTCGGATGGGATCAGGATACAGCGGGACCCAGAGCCAAACACACCCGCGGACTCCCAGTCCCTCCGCACTCCAACCGACGCACACCTTAACACCTACCACCTGGTAACAGAATACTACCGAACAACCCGCCGGGTCCTGCCCCCTCCGCATCGTGCGCTATCCCGGGCAGAGGCAGCGGACTGGCGACAACTTCAAACGTTTACGTTCCCTAACCTCCACCAGCGACATCTCTGGTTCCCCAACCGGTACCCAGGCACCTGTCCGGGATGTGGCAGCGATCACCCTAACCTGTACCACTCCATCTGGGAATGCCGTCACCCCCTCGGTGAAGGTATCACCCCCATTCCTTCCCCCACCTTTTCCTCCTGGGAGGCGGCCCTTTCCGGCACAGAGCTCGATGACCAGCAGCGACTGGTTGAGCGAGCCCGCCGAATCTGGGCGGCCAACGGAGCCCTGGACTAAGGGCACCGACCAGAGACCGCAAGGTCCTTTCACTTTATCAATTAATAAAGTTTACGATGATGATGATGATGATATAAGTCTTCTCGTCGTCAGCACTGCATTGTTAAACGGAGGCAACCGATACCCAGTTACATCTTACCTTTGCTATTCCTCGAGTCACAATTCCTTCGTCAACCGCACATCACGGAAGGAATGGTAACCCAGTTCGCGGAAACCAAAAGCCGCTCTCAAAAAAACTACTGTAAACGACTTAATTTTCGCTGGCTAAAAGTTTCGCGAATCGGGCCAAAGCTGACATTTTGAAATGATTCGCGGGTTCTAATTTTCGCGAATCGAGTGTAGCTTCCGTAGCGTATTGCCCGAATTGTTCGCGGGACGCATTTTTCGCGAATTGTTGGCGATTCGCGAAATTCGCAAAAATTTTGTCGTTTACAGTAACTCGAAGCCGCTGTTGCATGAAAATAGGTTGCACGTTACCAGAATTATCGCGTAGCGTGAAATCAGGTTTAATCGCTTGCCACCAGATGGCAGGGTCAAGCAGAGTAATTGCAAGTAGCTAGGCTAGGTGGCGCTAGGTGCCGCCCAAATTCATGTTCTACAAAATATTTTCATTTGATGACGTCACCATTTCCCTTCGGGATCTTCGGGAACATTTATCATACACATGTAGACACACTACGCATGCTGCAAGCTGAACACATACATTGAGCGCATACACATACAGGCACATACAAACATCAATACAGAGCACACTAACCCGATCACTACTTCCGAGCTCTGCGTTTCCGTCTTTTATACTGGTCGTTTTGAACGCACGGAATTTCTCGGTGACCGCCTAAGCAATAAAAAATATCCCCAGCATGTTGATTTTTTTTCCAGCAATCCAGCTCCGAGAGTATTTTGAACGGCTCAGGGTGTGAATCTTTTAGTAAAAAGTAAACGCTCATGCCGTAATTATTTGAAAGCCAATAAATCAAGCCGCTCCAATGCGGTTCGAAGCCATGCGTTTGCTTCCCGCACGGCACGTCGTAGCCAGTATGTCTATTGTAGTGTTTGTTTTTCTATTTGTGGTGTTCGCGCACGGCTGCAATTGCCGTCTTGAATTAATCTCTGTAGAGCGGATATTCCCTCAGCTGAAACAGATGCTTCACGGGCAGAGAAATCACTTTTCGATCAACTTGAATGCAGTCAAAGCCGCGACTTGTGGCAGGTGTTAAGGCTGCGGTCCCACGGCAGCCATCTTGAACAAGGCGTTAGTTCAACCAATAGATGGCGACACGCACCCGTG